CACATTAACAGCCCTTTTATATCACCAGAAAAGTGTGAGAGGACTGAAAAAAAGAAGAGTAATTAATTCATTCAATGGACAATGTACCATTACTTTCTTCAGGGATCTGGTTGGATTAAAGGTCTCTGCTGTGAGGGACCCTATGGAGATCCTCCTTCATAAGAGACTTCAGGCAGCTACTGTGCATGTTTGGGTTAGTGATGAGTTTAAAATGTGCAAATGAAAATGACGCTCAAGCTCTAAATGAGAACCAAAGGACACTCCCAAATTGGTCAGAAGTGGGAACATCCACAGACCATAAGAATGTCAATCCCAGGTTTGGGATCAGGGCTATAAGAGCAGAGTTGAGATCTAGACAAGCTTTAGATTCATTTTTAGGTGTACATGGGGTAGTAGCATGGAATGTAACTTTACTCAGACAAGGTCTCCCCAGCAGAAAGGTCTTCATCTTTTAAGCAACTTCCTTTCTCAGTTCTGTCCCTGTTTTGCACTCAACTGCTCCTACCTCCTTACTGCTTGTCAACCCCTTCTCTTGTAACAGGGCTGCAGAACCTTGAAGCCCCCCAAGTCTTTGTGGAATGGCAAATGGCTATTTGGGAAACTTGTAGGTACTCAAGCTGGGTCCTCGTCTCCTTTAATTCTTAAACAAGGGTAGCCGGGAGGAAGGCAGTCTGTGTTCTTCTGGAAGAGATTGCCAGTGACCTAATATAACCAAAGGAAATAGCACTGTCTCTTAATTGCTGTGTTTCTGATCTAAGGCTGAGAAGACTCCATCTTCTTTAGTCAAAGAATCTGCCGTGGTTCATGTAGCCAGATATTGACTTATGGGTCAATATGCACGGATACCATGCTATGAATTGTCGAGTTTCTCTCAGGCCTGTTTCAGTCAAAGTGGTTATGACCTACAGAAGTTCCTATAAGGACTGGAAAAGGCATTGGATTTCCAGTCATGTAAGGACTGAAAATGGTCTACCCTGAGAGCACCTTTCAACTCATCCAGACTCCAGTCTGGGGTAAGTGACCACTTCACAGGTCTGTAGACACACAGGAGACAAAGCCGGGGGGAAGGCAGCTTCAACCCCCAGAGGAAGCAGTGTGAGTCGGGACCACCCCTGGCCCACACAAAATTTCTGAAGACCTCTAAGATAAATAGGGTAGAACTTGTCTCTTGGCAGCTGTTGGAGAATAGCAGTGTTTGCTTAAGGGAAGAGGACCGGGGTAACTTTCCCAGTGTAGGAACCACTTCTGTACAAGTGCCACATTTCCAAGCATAGACTGAGGTCAATAAATATATCATACAGCTATGTCACTGATACTCTGAATGTAAGATGCAGTTCAAATAGGCAGAGATTCAGTGCCAAACTCTAGCTTATGATCAAAACCAGCAGCACTGGTAAAGTCACTATGACAGCGTGCTAACATTTGCTATGACAAAAGAGATGAGACATGCAGCAAGTACATGGGCAGTCTCTACTGTGCTTCTCCACAATAAGCAGAGTATATTAATGCAAAATCCAGCAGTTCTCCTAAGTTTGGTTTGGTTTTTTTTTTTCAGAATCCCCCCCATTTTGAAATTCAGTGTTTGATTGGAAACACCTGAGGCATTTTAATAGTTCTTTTCTGCAAATGGAGATATGTGAGACAGGAAAAAAAGGAAGTGGAAACCACACAAATGAGGTAGTTGCAAAGCAAACAACTCACCTGGGAGATTTGCTGAATACTTTCTTTAGCCTCTCAGCCAAATCTCTGCAGGAGAATGTTTAAAGCTGGTGCATTTAACCAGGTATTCACAGATAGGACAATTATAGAGATAAGGTGCCAAGCTGAGAATCAGAAGATTTTGTTGTAAATAACCTCTTACATAGCAATGGGCAAGTCACTTTACTGCATGGTAGTTTTACCCCTTTGTAAACCAAAGATGATAACATTGACTTTTCTTCATGAAACAGAACCTAAAACCCCAAAATTGCTGTACAAGCCTAACTGAGATTCTGCTAGCAGAGATGGAAAGACTCATGTGAATTCGGTAGGCCAGAATCAAGCCTTAGAAGTTTTAAGCACCTAGAAGTAGTTGTCATTGGTACAACTTGACTGGTAGTCACCAGCCAGTAATGTTTCAGTAGTTTTGCTTTATCTGGCATTCTCTCTAACCCAAGGTCAATCTTGGAAAAACCAAACACACAAACTGAAACTTGAGAAATCAACCTAAATTAACATAATTTCCTTCCACCTTTAGAGCTCATTCCTGAAACTGTTCAGCATGTAGATCTGCTAATGAAAATAATGGGAAGTTCTAACTGTGGGCTGATGACATCAGTGATGTTTTCTTTATTCCCACAACAGACTAATCACATATTAAATATTAAGTGATTGCCAGGTCCTGCCTTCAGAGAATTAGGTGCTGCAGACAGTGATTTGGAACATAACTACTCTACTTAACACTTACTTAATATACACCAGCAATAGATGCAGTCTTCTGTGCTGGTAATTTCTCTGCTTCCTAAATATTTAGCAAAATTGCCATTGTGGATTAGCATTGCTATCCAGAATGTGATCCCTAAGGCATGGCCCATGCATGGAATGTTCAAGGGACATTAGAAGGACAGTTCAGTGACTTGTCCATGTTTCCAGCTACTCTGTTTGCTTTCTATTGAATAGAAATAAAATAATGAGGTTGTGGATTTTCAACAACAACTATAGAGAAGAATTCATCAGTGCTAAGGGACCCTGAAGAGGCTGCAAGAGCAAGTTCCAGCTCAAGTTGCTAGGGATGTATAATGCAATTTAAGAAATTAATTCCAAGAAGGTCAATTTTCTTGTCATTCAAGCACAAACAGAGCCTGCAAGCTGCTTCCAAAAGGGTCAGTGGCTGTTACCAGTGAGCAGCCTGACCCGCAACCACTCTGCTCAGAAGTGTTCTGAGCTCCAGAAATGGACCAGCGCACTCTCCCTCACTAACAGTTTAGTTTGCAAACCCAGGCTCAGGTTTAGCAGTGGGAGTCTCAAAGGTTTCAATGCAGAGCTCTGCTGACAGAGCTGCCTCCATCATTTCAGGATTAGAGCCATCAGTTTGTAGCGGTAGAGGCTTATGAAGAAGCCCAGTTCTCTGCTCATCCCCATAAGGACAGCAGCTCTCCCCAAACAGAGTTAAGTGATTTTTAAATCAACAGCTCAGTACCTGCAATGTCACAGTTACTATGGCAGCCATGCCAGGTTTTTATGCAAAGAGTGGTACTAAATAGCAGTGAGTATTATGAACAGAAAGGGATTGCACATCAGTGCAACTGTAAAACTTTAGAATCCTATTGAAATTAGAGTCTACAAGTATTAAAATGCACCTATAGTTTTTACCATTTTTTTAAATGTGTTGAGAGACCTAATTATTTCATTGCTCACAAAACAAAAGGTTACTACTTCCCTCTTTGAGGAAATAATTGGCTAATTCTGCACAGAAAAGAAAGGTGGCAGAGCTGAGATCTGCGGAAAAGACTGTTTATGTTGTGACAAACCAGTGGCATCTAAAGAAAAGAAAACTAAAGGCATAGAATGCAATTACTGGTGCATGGATTGCACAGTATGTGTCATATACATCTCTGTGTGTGCGTGTGTGTGCATATGTGTGCAAAGCAACAAATATAACCTGAAAAGGCTTTTACCTACGACTCATCTACATTGTCCATCTGGAACCAGAAGATTGAATCATATCTCCAAACCCTACCTAATGTATTTTTTTCTTTTGGGCTTGTTTTATTCCTTGGCTTCAAAACCACTGAAAAATAAATGACAGTATCATGTAGCGTTCAGAACAAGCTAGTATGCGAATCTGGAAGAGGCACTGAAATTAAGTCTATCCGTTGAGTTTGTTTTTCCTTAAAGACTTGCAGGATCACCCATTGCCTTACAGTGTCTAAGTAATAAGCATTGTGCAACCGAGGTGTAGGATGCTGCTAATACCACTCAGTTAACATATCTCAGCATTTGTGAAACTTCAGAAAGCACATTTCGACTTTTTTCCTGCCTTCAAACAAAATACTCATATCAAGCTGTGCCATATTTCGAGTATATTCTCAATACACTAATTTGCACTTTAAAACCCTAAAATAAATCCTACACTAAATAGCACTTTAAATTGTTTTATAAATGTCAAACAAGTCACACAGAGAAAACATACTATTCTCAGTCTATCCTCATGGGAATGTGTGGAGCAAAATGGGCAAATCTGACAACATATTTTCATTATTTACAGCCGAGAGTAAATTTTACTCTATCTATTTTCCAAATTCATGGCCTGCTGTAGTGTTTTCTATATGGAGTGTCCTCTGCTGGCATTGCAAATACTGTATGTGTTTCAGAGAAGAACATCAGAAAATGGATTGCTTTTTTTAAAATCCACATTCTGCTGTCATATTTCCATACGTAATGTACTCTGTGTGTCTAAAACATGTACAGCCATTCTGCATGACTGATACCAGAAATGCTATAAAACAATCTGGGTAAATTTTGGGGAGGGGAAGAACAGGAATTTTCCCCTCAGTAAAATTGCACACAGGTATAAATCAGTACAAACAGAATATACTCAAATACTAAAACACAACTGACAGTCCACTGCCTCTCCAAAGCTCTGAGCGACAGTAGGCTTCATGACAAACAGGTCATTCATGCACCATCTGATGTCATGCAAAAGCATAACCCGATTTCTAACCGCAGTCTTCTGCTCGCAGGACTAGGAACCAATGCACGCCCGTTTCTGAAACTGCCCCTCTATGTGGAAGTACAGGTGGCTGCTGTTACACCTAACGTGATCACATTTTGTTTCTCCTCCCAGTTAACAGACTTTATTTTATTTTGGTGCAGTGCACATGAATGCAGTGTCTAGGACAGATGTGCTACCTTTTATAGTGTCGCTATAGAACTCTTTAGCTGTGAACACTTAATTTGCAGCTGGAACGCTAATAAACAGTGCATAGTGTTTCAATAGCCTTCTGCTTATATGTTTGAAGATTCGAAACTGAATGGTGAGGTGGCCAAGGCGGCGCTGGCAAACGAAGACTGTCCCCACATAGACCAGGCTATTACGCCTGATGAGGGCCTGCCCTTTACCCGCTCTGGCACTCGGGAGAGATATGGACCCTGCTTCCTCTTATCAACCGGGGAATATCCCTGCCCGCCTGATGGAGGAATAAGAAAGGGTATGTAGCTGGGGTCCTGTAACCATGTAGTTAGCAACCGTTTTAAATAAATCAGAGAAAGTCAGCCGTAGTTGTAGCACGCAATAGTGCGCTTGCTGTAGAGATGCACGTTTGGGCTGGAAACCACCACCTGATGTCTGCATTTGGAGTTTCTAACCTATTTCTTTCAGAAAGAAAAGCCTGAGGAGCTGTAACTACCCCATGCAGCTATGCTAGGCAGTCCAGTCTTCCACCCCAGCTGGTGCAGTAAGCTTTGGTGGAGGATGCTCTACAATGTCCTTAAATTAGCCCATCCTCCAAGAAGAGGCTAATTAACATTTCATAGCAATGAAGGTTTGCCACTTGGAAAGCTCACAGATCTTACCAGACTGAGGAGCACAGACTTGGAGGTGGCAGACAGAAAAGAGAAAACACAAAACCAAAACATCCTCCAGAAATATGAAATGATTATTTGGCTACCTTAACAGAGCACTAAAAAAAATTATTTGGATAGTCATAGCTGCTTAGTTCAACAGAGAAAGAGAAGCGTACAAGAACATCTGTTAGTACAGGTGTCTTACAATTGGAAAATAATCCATCTGAAATCACTATCCTTTCATAAATAAATCATTACCAGTTAGTTTCTCAGACTTCTGACAACTACAGATCTCTCAGAAGTAACTGCATTTTAGTTTGCTAATGGTCAGAATAATCTATTTCGCAACAGAAGTCAAATCAAATGAAAAAAACCTTCCCTTCTTAGAATAGGCTGTTTTGTTTAAACAATTTAACATGAGGAAACCATACAAACCAAAATTAGAGTTTCATATATATGCATCAAAGTTGACAAGGAATGGGAAAATTGGAAAAGAAATCTCTCTCTTCAAATCAGTGTTTATCACTGATGTACTGTATATAGTATATGATATAGTCAATATTTTAAAACTGCAAAGATTGTACGATGTAACCATACACTGAGTATGGAGTATAGAATTCCCATGTGCCATTGTATGATGGGCAATAGTTACAGTAAATGCCAGTTATAGATAGTGTATGTATTTATAAGTTTAAAGCTTATCATCAACAAAGATATAGTTAGACCACAAGACTTTCATATGAAAGTATATCCTCTAAAATTTACCTTTGTAGCAAAGTGTTTTACTTGATTCTGTATTGGATAAGCATTGGCCGCGTTCATTCAGCCTGGGCGAGTTAGGGTGGTTCCAGTGGATCAGGGGAACACTCCAAATGGCACATCCTTTGGGATGAGGAATGTATGGTTTTCACGATGCACTGCAACCGCCTCTCGTTACTGAATGAAACAGAGGCTGGTTGGCTAAAGAGTAATATACGTCAGCATATTGTTGGCCTGTTTGAAACACGTTGAGAGCATCTTAATTGTTGTTCCAACAGAATTTCATCCATAGTTTGTGCAACTCTCTGTACACTTGCTGAGCTGTTTACGTGCATGTCTGAAAAAGAGGGGGGGGATGAGGGGGGGGGAGGGGGGGAAAGGGAGTGCATGCAATTGTTTTTTTTTTTTTTTTTTTTATGCTGAGAATGAAGGAGTAGTATCTCTATAGCAACACAATAAATTCTATGGATTTTGCTGCCTTTTCCCCCCTCCCATCCCCAAGGATACCAGAAACCTTAATTTTGCCTGAGGTCAAAATGCATGAAGTAGAAGGGAGACGTGTGCGTGAGTGTATGACGGAGACATAGAAAATCCCTCCCACTGATTCTTTTTTTTTTTAGGGTACAACCATGTTGCTGCCTGTAGGATCAATTACATAGCCTGACCATCCTTGAGAAATGATGATTTAACTTTTTTTTAATACATGTATTTTTTAAACTTGTTCCGTACTTCAATGGCTTTCCGAGTCTTGTTGCAAGCGATACTACTCTCGGCATGTCTGTGCATGCAGATGCTATTGAACTGGCTACAATGTTGACCTCATTCTTAGTCCATTCTGTCATTGATCCAATGCTGTACTTTGCATTTTTCTTTTAAATGAAGGTTACGAAATGTCACGGAGCCTTAACAGCATAGCTGGCATAAGTGGAAAAGCGATAGGATTATCCTCAGTGTCTGCGCCCTACAGCTCTCCTAGTCCAGTGAGACGTTCTTGGTCTCCCATCCCATCTATTTTGTAGCATGGATCAGTAGCAGAGAATGGTCTAAAAAGCTTTATTTTCAATTAGCCTATGCTATGTTGCATATAATCCAGGTGACTAAGTCTGAAGATGCAATGTCTCACAGTAGCACCTGCTGGGAACGGTGTTACTACTGATGCTAGGTGACAACACTCCTAAATAGCACTCAGATGACAATAGGCAGGCATTTATGTAATACTGGTGGGCCATACATGCTGCATGGTATCAGTACATAGGATGAAGGGTAGATGCACCAGATAGTTTCCTTCCTGGTGCATCCTGCTAGTATATGCTTATTTTGGCTAATGGTGGATCTACTGGCTCTGTATGGAATGGGTTAGGCATTTAGTCGATGCTGAAACGTGCCAACGATGGAAGATTTTGCTTTTCTCAGGATATTTTTGAGCCATAGGAACCCTGCAGGAGTTTGAGCAAACAAGCACAGTAGGATGAAACTTTGCATGGGCGCCTATTTTGAGCTGAAAGCAATACTCAGACACACTGTAGAGAGGTCTCGGTCTGGCTGACTGCATGGGAAAAAAAAATCCTGTTGAAGAAGAATATGGCTGCCTCTGCATGTAGCTATTTCACCTTTTCCTCCTTCCTTTAAAACTAAGATGCCAAGCTTGATGTGAAAAGCGCAGGAAAGAAGCTCAAGTACTGATTGTATTCTTTACATGCAGATCTTTGCAAAGAAAGTCCAGTCATTGCTAAATATATGCCAACAGAGGCAGTCAGAGTGACCTGACAAGGCGAGATGGAGATGAACATTGATGGCTAATAAACATCTGTGTGGAACTGTGCAGGCATAGAAGACCTTCTCATTTGGACAAAGTTAACTCGCTCCATGCAGGTTTTATGGATGATTCTTTGCGGTTTTGGAGTTGTACTAGAGATGCAGGCTTTTTCTACGGCCAAAATGTAACAAAACTGTAGAAGATCCTTTTTTTTTTTTTTAATCTATTTTTTTTGTTCCATAGCATGAATTGCATGAAGACAAAAAGTAAAAAAAAAAAAAAAAAAACAAAACCAAGAAACACTGCAAATGTATGATTAAGGAGAAAAAAAATCAAAGTTATATATTTTCTTTCAAAGCTCTTTACTTTTACATACATTGTTGTAGCCAAAATGTAAAACATTATAAAACTGTACATTTCTTTGCTATGGATCGCTTCTTTTTGTATACAAGATACAGAGTAATGGTTTTAAAAAGTGCAATCAGGCAGTCATCGGTCATATTGACCACGCCTTCACAGTTCATCACACCAACATGGAAATCAAGAACTTTTAATCCAACTAGAAGTGTATAAAAATAAGAAAAACTTTTTCCTGTCTGTTTTTGTTGGCATGCTTGTGACACATGGGACCTTCCTTCGGACCTGACAGTAACAGCTGATCTAGATTTAATTTTCCAGGTCTGGTTATGTTGTATTTTATTGATGTATAGATCAAACGTAAAGACCCTTCATAAATTGTTCATATTAAGTAATCAGTATGAATTTTAAACAAAAGAGGTGTTATTTTAAAACTGGGACTTATAGTACAAAATCAGGAAAATACTCAAGTATAAATCGTCTCAAAGTTTAAGAAACAAGACAACAGCATTGTATGCAATTTAGTACTGAGTAAAATGCATGCACAATGTTATGCAAAACAATTCTAGCATGAAATAAATTTTGTATCATGGTTTCAGTGCCTGCTGTATAGTGTAAAGGGGAATCCTTTTCTGAAGCTATCAGGGGTTTCCAGAGACTTGCTTCTAAAATCTTGAATAAATACAGTGTTCTCAACAGAAATGTAGGCGAAAAGCTTGGTATTGCTTTGGTTCTACAACGCTAATTTTGGTTAGTAGATAATAAATGAAGCCTGCAAACACTTGATACAACCGATGTCTGAAGAATTCACATCATTAGTAATTTTAAGAGGGAAGAATAAAAAACCCTATAATTACCTAGGTATCTTCCTTTTCCCTTCTCAACAATAATAAAAGTTTGTCTTTTTAGCTGACTAAACGAATTCAGTTTTTCTTACTTTTTTGGGCCTCGTCCTTCACTGAGCAACAGCAGTCCACCTGATACGAAACTCAGAAAGAAATACAGGTGTCTGAGTCGCACTTTATTTGCCACACAAAACATGCAGCAGTAAAACCAAGAAACACAATGGGATTAAATTTCATTTTAGATCCTACAAATAACAATGATGGACTATGTGTCAACGGCAAACTAATTGCTTGAACATTTTTGGTAAAGTACTTCTATAAGGAAGGATACACCTTTATCCTCATGCAAGGAACTTCAAAATTGCTGGCAACCTTCTAGACAAGGTATGGCATCTGCGACTACTGATGAAAATGGAAAAGTAAAGGAATAGAATCCCTATGGTCTGGAGGAAGTAGAGATTAACCCCCCAAAAAACAGAAGAAACACTCATGGCTCTGGTAAGTGCTAAATTATAAACCAAAAAAAAACCCAAAAACCAACTGCAGCTAGACCTTGTCTTCACAGAACTCTACTCCAAAAGGAAAAATCAAGGAAGACCTCAAGCTGTGTTTTAGGAATTGAAGAAAGGCTGATAATCTGAATTTGTATGTAATTAGCAAACTCCTCTGTAGTCCTTGATGTAGCATTATGTACTTGATTTCTACTTCAGTTGACCATCTTTTCTCCTGAGAACTATTTTTCTTCACTGTTTCTATGCTGTTATTCTCAGCTGATAAATGGGCAATTTCTTACTTCCAGAGATAAAATCCAGGTTAATCTGGGATCCAAAAGTTGCCTAATGAACAACGTTTCCTCTTATAATGTATTAAGAACCCAGAAATAAATTTATCTGCCCAATTTTTTATTTAACACTAACTCAAGGGCCCAGCATGAAGGCTACTCAAATTCTCCATTACCATAAGGAATACTAACGATTCAGCCCAGTAAATCCCACATAGGTCTTCCCCTTTCACTGCGCTTTGCATATGTAAGAGCCTTAGCTAACAGGTTGGGTACATATGCCCTAAGGCAATTGTCATTCTGTGCTACTTTTTACATCTACCAGTCACATTTTCATTTAGGTACTCCTCTCAGCTTATTCTGATTTGAGGTAACCATGTCTTCTGGGTGACTTTTATATACCCTTCAGAAACAGGACAGTGCTTCCCATCCATCGCCCTTCAGGAGATGCTCTAAAGCTTAAGGTCCATCTGACCCCAGAGTTCCCCTTGCACAACAGTGGCAGCTCTGACAGCAGAGAGAAAGAAGGAGACAACTGGAACGTTTCAGGAGCTGTTGCACCAAATCCTGACACTGACTGCTAAGAGAAATTTACCACATCATCCCACCTGCCTTACATTTAAGGAGCTTTTCCTGAAGTATTATGATTAAAACATTAGTTCCTTCCAGCCTGCCCACTCCCACCACAGGGGCTATACATCTTGACTAAAGCATTCAACTACACATGTGGCTAGATTCTGACCTCAGGCTTGCAATAATGCCACCGACTACTTCTGACTCCACACCATCGTAAGTAAGAGCAGAAGCACGTTCTGTACTTCAGTAACACTGTGCTGGTTTTCTGCTGGAAATGAACATCCGTGTTTCCTCCTCTGCAAACTCAGCTTTCGGCAATGGAGCCCCAGCTATAGGACCCAATGCTGGTCCTGCATCTGAACCCTATGGCAATTAGTGGTTTATTACTTGCTAATATTAGAAGCACACCTCAACCATACCTTCTACACACATAGCTTTTCCTCTGACTGCATGAAGGTACTCATTTTTTCTGGACCATCCTGATGTGTGAAACTGTCTCCACAACTACAATTTCAGACATCAAGGAGTTGAGAAGCGGCTTCTGTTCTCTCAGTCCAACAAAAAATCTAGCTAATACCACTGTGATAACAGTCAAGCGCAGCAGCCATTAATCTGGATAAAGTGATTTTTCACATAAATTGCCTTCTCTCTCCTTAAAGTTTCAGGGCCAGAAAGAAAATACATCACTGAAACAAATGGCTGCTAGGACAAATGAGCAGACTGAAATACAGAAGAGAGCAAGCAGGGCTAAGGCAAGGGCATTCAGAAAGGAATTGAGCACACAGCCGCTTATGAAAAAGACATCCTGAAGAAAAAACAAATGCAGTTATTACCCTACCACTCTGCATATCCTATCCTTCAGACCAAGGCAGCCTACTTGTCTGCTTTCCATATATACCCTCGAAGCATCTTTGTCTGAGCTCACACAGAAACTAACTTCACTTAATGAAAATGTGCTTGAATTATGCAGGTTATTTTTAAGTCACTCACTTATTTGAGTTTGGGTGTAAAATACCTTGTCTGTTCAGAAGTCCCAAAATCTCTGCATTCATCTAGGACTGTAAGTGCAACATTTCTCTCTTAGGGCAATATAAATGCTTATTTACTGCAAGAACAGTATTTGAATGAAAATTGAACTTCAATTTAGAAAATGCATCCAGAACTGCACCTCTTGACTTTCTTTCCTTATCTGACAAAGAAAATGCTTTAAAACTAAATGCATTCATCTGCCCCCATGGAAAGATATATTTTCTGGTTCAGGCTAACAAAGTCAGGTTTTCAACCCTCAATGAATAATAACTTGAGCATTTAAAAATGCAAGTACATACGCTCAAGCATCTCCAGGTACTAAATATTAAGAGCGCATGCTCCAAGGCTTCCATTGGTTTCTCTACTGCCCAAGGAGCACAGGTTAGAGATTCCGTAGTCAGCAAAAGGCAAAGTACCGCAGTTGTATGAGCAGCGTTACCTGCACAGCTTCCGGACCCAAAGGGCTTCGTAGGGACAAAACAGCCTATGCAGAGGCTGCTGACCGTGAGTCACACCAGCACAAACAGGAGATACATGTCTTGGGCCCAAGCAAATAAGCTCAGTAGGAGCCCTGCTTTGCGGTGACAGTGTCAGTGCAAGTGGGTGACTGTAGAAGAGGCGGCAGTAGCACAAGAGGTGGGAAATGAGGAGGACACAGGATGGTTCTGGAAAACGGGTTATGCAAATAGAAGGGAGGGGAGCATATGAGGAAACAGTAATCAGTGAGGGGGGGAAAGAAGAGGAAGGAGAGAGGGAAGTAGTAGCAGTGAGGCTTACCTGAAAAAACATCAAGGACCACTAGCCTAGAAGGTAGAGCCTGGGTCTGGGACTCAGAAGACAGGAATTTTATTCTTGGTTCTGCTGTGGACATGCTGGGTTATCTTTGTTGGGCCATTTCAAATTTTTATGCCTCAGCTTCTGTTTCTGTGACATTATTCCCTTTTTAAAGCATTCTGAGGTCAAAAGAGGAAAACCAGTATTTAAGTAGGAATATTTATTATAATCTATCTACTCAGAATTAAGGCACTAGAGGAGAGAAGCATCACTCCGTTATTTAAAAGATGCCATGTTTCCTTGTCTGCCGAAGAGCACAATGTCCCTGCAGGAATCCCTTTTCTTTTGTACTTTAAAGCAGAGGATTATTATGGAAAATGATTAAGCACCCACACAGTTAAAATTACAGAGCGTCTTCATTACTGATTGGCAACTCCTCTGCTGCCCTAATTTAGGCACCACACGTCTTCATGCATTCAAATCAGTAGAAACAAAACAAAAGCTAAACTCGTTTGACATTTGCAGCAAAAATCTGAAATCATGTCAGAACATTAAAAATCTCCCAATTCTCAGGTCCCACTTCTAAATATAAAAAAATGTAAAAATGCAGTCTTACAGAAAACTGTTCACATATATTTAAAAGATTATGTTAATCAGGGAGTATTGGAATCACACTGATTTGAAATTCTGCAATTTCCACTGACAAAGTCTTGATCCCTAAACCCTGCAGACAGAACTCCACCCAAGATTGCTTTATATCTGAATAACAAGGTGTTCCATAGGCAAAGCAACCTGGAAATAGATGAGAAAGATGAAAATTAGTCAAGAGGTTAGCCAGCACAGGAATTTGAATTAGACTCAACCCCCTCCCAACCTACAAAGGCTCGTCTGAAA